AGAAAACCACCAAAGAACTTCCTTTTTCTCTCCCAATTTCGTCCATCCCCTTTCCGCCATTTAAACACTTCATTTCTCCATCAAAAACCACTCCAAATTATTGTTTTTCTCCTGCCCTTTATTCTGCCCTATCACCTCTTCCAAACAGCCATACTTTCTTCACCATTTTATACTCAAATCCAACCTATTCTTCACCATATTTTCCCCTCTATAATCTGCCCTTATTTATCCATAGCCTTTTCCTAAGCTTGGGTACATCAGTTGGTATCAGAGCTAGTTGTTACTCATCTCTCAAGGACCATACACACTTCCCCAACTCCCTCCCTAAATTCGGCCTGACCACATTCAATCCCTACTCCCACTTCATCCCTTTTCCTATCAACCATGTCAAACTGATCCCGAAGCATGTCTCATGAAGAACTCGTAGCCTAGGTTGCACTGGGACGGGTGCGGGTACATATACGGGGACGGTGATGGATTCGGGAATCGGCATTTTTAAAAATTTAAGGATGCGGGGACGGCAAGGATTCGGCAAAAGATAATTAAAATATTAAATATAGGCATGTAAATGTTAAAAATAATGTTCAAGTTAAATAATGTTACAATAGATGTTAAACAACTAAAATTAAATAAGTAATATCAAACTAAAATTTCTAGTAAAATTAGTTAAGTAATATCAAACAACTAAAATTAGCCAAGTAAATTTCCAGTAATATCAAACAAAGAAAAATTAATTAAGTAAATTGCAAAGTCAATTTGCCAACTAAAATGGGTCAAAGAAAGAATTTTGGTGGAAGAAAGAACTCGAGGAAGAAGTGAAGAACTATGGCTGGTCCGCTGGTACGTGTACTCGTGTAGGGGTGTAGGCCTGGACGGCGACCTCGCCGGAAGCTCTGGAACTGTGGACGGAGACCTCGCCGGAAGCTCTAGAACAGTGGACGGCAACCTCGCGTCAACTTCTGGAAGTAGGGGTGTAGTGCAGACTAGGGCTAGTGGGCTAGCCCATAAAAACTTTAATAAAAAATAAATTAAAATATGATTAAATGGCCCAATTCGTACCGGGTACGCCCCCAAATTCCTGATTCCGTCCAGCTCGAAGAAGCCGCCGAATCCTTTTAAACCAAGGCGTTTCCGTCCGTGCGTCACTTCCGGAGCGGGAGGCGGCACCAAACAGCCGAACCCGTGCAACCTAGCTCGTAGCCGCAAACGCTGCCTTGCAAGCTCAGGTGGAATACCTGGCCAAAGAAGTGGCTAAGCTCACGAAGCAAAAGATGTCCATGTTGCAAGATAGTGAAGATGAAGAGGAAGCTAGCTCTAGTAACACCATGAGAGCTAGGGCTCATGAAAAGTCCCATTCTGACTTCAAAGTTGATATTCCAATCTTTGAAGGGAAGAATGACCCGGATGAATTTCTTGAGTGGTTAGAGACAGTGGAACGAGTCTTTGATTTCAAAGAAGTCTCCGACGACAAGAAGGTCGAGATTGTGGCCTTAAAATTCCGCAAGTATGCCTCCACTTGGTGGACGAACACCTGCACCAAACGGAATCAAAGTGAGAAGCCTCCCGTTGACTCATGGCAAAAGATGAGGAGTCTCTTGAAGAAGAAGTTCCTACCCACTGAATATTCCCGAGAGAACTTTGCTAAGCTTCAAACGCTTAGGCAAGGTACGAAATCCGTGGAAGACTACACCCAGGAGTCTGAGGAACTCCTACTCAGGTGTGACTTGCAAGAGAACAAAGAGCAAACCTTTGTAAGGTACCTTTTTGGCCTAAATCTCCAAATAGCCAATACAGTGGAGCTGCAAGGCTACACTACATTTGAAGAACTTACTAAGTTTGCTCTCAAGGTTAAGTCACAAATGAAGAAATCCAAAGCCATTCTATCAAGAAACTCTACCCCTTTCTCACGTCCTACCTACACCCCCACCAAACCCCCTCCTACTGCCCACGGCCAAGCACCCAAACCCCAAACTCCTTGCAAACCAAACCCCACTGCTCTCCCACCTAAAACAGCCCCTTCAACCAACAAAAGAGCCCCCGTGTGTTACCGATGCCAAGGGACTGGTCACTATGCCAATGAGTGTCCAAACAAGAAGATAATGGCCTTGGTGGAATATGAAGATGAAGAATATAATCCCATATGGGATGAAGAGATAACCGAGGAAGAAGAGGAAGAATGCGTTGGCCCCGATGAAGGAGAACTTTTGGTCATTCGAAGGACCTTAAGTGCCATCTCATGCCTCGAAGAGCAACTACAACGGGAGAACATCTTTCATACCCGTTGTACCATTCAGAAGAAGGTGTGTTCGTTAATCATCAATAGCGGGAGCTGCTCTAACGTTGCATCCAAAACAGTGGTGGAAAAGCTACATTTGAAGGTATCCCCTCATCCCAAGCCTTATACTATTCAATGGCTAAACCAAGGCAAGGGCTTACGTGTTGACACGAGGTGCATGATCTCGCTGAGCATCGGCAAGACTTATAAGGATGACATTTGGTGTGATATCATTCCCATGGACGCATGCCACGTCCTTTTGGGAAGTCCTTGGTTGTTCGACAACAAAGTGCAGCATGATGGCTACTTGAACACTTATTCATTCCTTATGAATAAGAAGAAAATTACCCTCTGACAGTTGTAGTTTTTCGGGTAGTAAACCTTCCCAGTAAAGGGTTAGTTTTCTCTCCGAGTGTCGTATCTCTCGAGGAGTGGACGAAGGGAATTAGTTTAATTACTCTAATTAGGCGAAGATTAGGATTGGTTTATGAAAGTCTTCTCGGAACGATTATAAAAAAAGGGCAGAGTAAAATAATAAATAAATTAAGTTTACATAGTATAAGTGTAGATCTGGATCTAGGGTCTGGACATCATTTGGATCTATTTTGTCATATTAAATTAACAATTGGAATAATAATATTTCTATTACTACTCATCCATTTCTAGATTTGTACTTAATCCGTTGTACTTGAATATCATAGCCTTTTGGCATACAATATTTTCTCAATAAATGGCCAATTAAATCTTTCGAGTTTAATTAACCAAATAAGGCAAGAACAATAGATTAACCATTCCAACATTAATTAAACATCAAAAATAAACAAACAAACTAGTCCGGACCCAGAGATCCGGACCCTAACTCATACTATGCAAACATAAATTAAAATAACATTTCATTAAATAGAGAAAACTTACAACCTCCGTAAGAGCGGAACAGAACAGATCTGGAGTCAAAACCTCCGAAAATACTTCAAAACTAACTACTACAACTATACTACAAACTATAATGGAGATTGGAAGAGTAAATCCCGAAGTTGGGAT